CCTGCCACTCTGGGTGGGGCAGGGTGGGGCAGGGCGGGCCTCTGAGGGTGGTGGGGAGGCAGCTGTGGGGCCAGCTCAGCCTGGGCAGGGAGGGTGGCCTGACGGTCCTGTGGTTTCCTGGGCTGGTCTATCATGGGCCTGGGCAGTGAGACCCCCGGCTCCGCCCCCTGGCCCTGAGACCCCCATATCCGCAGAGGGGCCCTGAGTCCGCTCTGTGCCTCCGTTTCTCACCTCTAATAGACTTTCTGGCCCTCACCCAAGCTGGGGCCTCGGGAGGAGCAACTGGATTGGCATCAGCAAAATGCCTTGAATAAGCCCGCAGCTCAGGAGCATCTGGTGCTTACCGGACACAGGACTTGGCCTCTCTGGGACTCAGTTTCATTATCTGTCAAATAAGCGTGTCACAACCCCAGGCTCACGGGCACTGAGAAGACCAAATAGGACAGTGTGCATACGGCACCCAGCAAGTCCCCACCTTGGACACTGGCTTCTAGTCAGCACCATTGTAGCTAAGGTCCCTCTCACCCAGAGGTGGAGACCCAAGCTGCAGGGAACCCGATTCCATCAAAGGATCCAGCCTGCCCTGGTCACCGCTGCCTGTGGGAGCGCCGGCCACGTGAACTCCCAGCTTCTCTCCTTGCAGGCCAGCCAGGATGCAGGCACGACACGGGGACACGAGTCGGCCAGCACACGCGTGTGCTCACAGGCCTCACCACCCAGGGCTGCGCCGCACGGCCTGACGCCCGCCCACAGAGGCCCTGCTGCTGCGGGGAGGGGGCCAGGGGCTGGCCCAGGGTGGGAGGCTTGTGCTTTCTCACGTCCGGCAGTGCCCCGCCAAGGAGTCAGGGAGCACATGCTTCTCGGGGGAGTTGGGCTGGAATGAAGGAGGGGTCCGGTGGAAGATGGCGAAGGAAGAGAGAAGGGAGCCACTTTTCGAGTCCAGCGGGGGGAGGAGGGGAGGACTCAGAGGGGAGCAGAGACAGGGAGGCAGGAAGGCACTAAGACGTAGATAGATGACAGGTGAATAGGTGGGTGATTGATTAGGTTGGTAGCTACATAGATGATTGATCAGATAGATAGTTACTTAAGTAGAAAGACAGATGGAAGCTAGAGGGATGAGTGGAGTCAGAGACACATGGAGGGTCAGAGGAACAAAGCTAGAGGAGGCACCCAGAGATTTAGAAAGAGCAGATTCTACGGGGATGTAGTTCCAGAAAGTAAGAGACAACCAGACACGGACCAAGAGAAAGAAAGAAAAAAGATAGATGCAGAGAGAAAATCAGATGCAGGGAAAACCAGTAAGAGACCCACAGGGAGACAGGGCGGGGGGAGGTGGGCAAAGAGAGAGGGAAAGCTAAGAGGCTCATTCGGACGCGCAAGCCCCAAGAAGGAGAGATGAGCAGCCCTCGAGCAAGGCCCTCCTGAGCTGGGGCCAGCTCCAGAATTCTGGAATGAGACTCCCCCGGCCCGCTCATTCCCCACAGCCCGCTAACCCCTTCCTGGGCCTGGCTCACTCCTTCCGCCCCGCTCCACCGCCCTAATCTTATAGCTGGGACAGTGATGGAGGAGAGGAAGCTGGAGCCACAGTGGCCTTGAGTAGTTGGCCAGCGGCAAGGAAAGGGGCACCCTAAAGGGCTTGTCCTCAGTGGACTGAACCTGGCCCACGGTGGGCTTGGTCTCACTCACACCAATCCCAGAGTGATTTTCTGGCACCAACGGGGAAACTGAGGTCCAGAGGGAAGGAGTGTCTCCCCCAACCCTCCCTCCTGGACTCTGGGCTTTTTCTTTCACTTCCAAATCACCTTTCTTCATCGGGAAATACAGGAAAGTGGCGGGAAGACAGCCCCTTTCCTCCGCCTGTGTGAGAGTGCCCCATACAGGTCCTCCCCCAGCCCAGACTCACCGCCACGAAGAACATGGTGAAGAGATAAACCATGGCCTCCATGTGGAACCGCCTCTTGGCAGCAATGCTGATGGTGGGGAGGAAGGCCAGGCTGCTGAGGGTGGGCAGGAGCAGTTTGGCCATGAGCGTCCCCATGGGCCAGGGAAGAAGGCACTGGCTAGGGAGAGGGGTGGGTGCAGGCCTCCCGGGTCCCCGGGACAGGGAAAACCAAAGGGAGGAGGGGCTCTGATGGCAGCTGTGGTTTAAATGCCCTGAAGGGAGGCGGGGTTCTGAGCACACATGTCGGGCAGCACATGGAGAGGGTCCAACAGCTGAGGCATCACGTGATCAGCACTTGTCTCAGGTTTTTTTATTTTTATTTTTTGAGAGGCCAGAGCTGTTGATTCAAGGAGACCATACTGTCCTTCTTTTTGGAGGCAACAACCTTGGAGGAGAAAGTCCCCATGAGTACAATCTCCAGCTTCCAGCCACTTTCCATCCCGGCTCTCTCCCCAGGGCACTAGGGAGCCCAGAATGAGAGGATCAGTGGACTTGGGCTCCCGTCACCTGTCCAGGGCAGCTAGAGGTGAGAGAACCCAAGGTTTAGCCAATTCTAAACACTGGAAGGACCTTGTAGATAAGTTTCACGTGTTACCAGCCCACATGTACTTCTTTCTTACTCGCCTGCTCTTTTCAGGCTTGGGTTTCCTTGGTGACCAGACTAGTGAAACTGACATTCTTTTCTGCTTGGTTACATTGTTTCACACCAGAAGTAAACAGACCAGGGTATCTCTGAGGCTTGAGGCTTGCCTTCTCAACATTCCTTGGTTAGCCTCCTAAAATTGACCTTCCTTTCTTGGAAGAAGTCTTGGGGGAACTATCAGGTAGGGTGCCCCCTTATCCTCTGGCCAAGGAACAATGGGAGTGCGTGAGCCATCCAGGCTGACTCTCCCAGGACTGACTGCTTTATTAATTGATTGCCTGATTCATTTACTTATTTGTTGTCAGCAAAAGAACAGTTTTTATTCCTGTTTCAGTTTTTTTTTTTTTATGATGATATAATGATGTCACATATGACAAAATGCACAGATTTTAAGCCTACAGCTTGATGATTTTGGATACGTGCATACACGTGGGTGGCCACCACAGTAACCCCTCATCCCAGGGTGTCCTTCGTGTCCTTTGCAGTGACTCCCTGCGGCAGAGGCAGCCTCTGTTCTGATTGCTGACTTTGCCTGTTCTAGAACTTCCTATAGGTGGAATCGTGGAGTGTGCATTCTTTGGGGGCTGTCTTTTTTCGATTCTTTCCCTGGAACCTCCCTGAGATCCGCCCACATTGTGGGGGATGGGCCAGTAGTAGTCTACTGTGTGGATAGGCCGCCAGTCTGTTCCCCCAGGGGAATTGGAGTCTGGACTGTGGGAATAGCAGGAGTGAGACCGAGTGGTGCAGGTATATCTCAGCGCCTCAGAGAGAGGCTTCTGCTCGTCCCCGGCTCCTGAGGCCTTGCTGCTCCCCCCTCCTTCCTCTGGAAGCCCCTCACACCTTTCCAGAAATCTTATTTGTGTCTTAAGTTGGCTGGAGCCCTTTTATGCTGTTTGCGATGAAAGATGCTGCTTGGTACATCTGCTCATGTCATTCTACTTCCTAAGTACCTTCCATGGTACCCACAGCCTTCGGGGTGAGGTCCAAGCTCTCAGGAGACCACTGAGCCATCTGTGGCCTGCTCTGCTCCCCCCACTGCTGCACACCCATCTCCACCATACTCTCAGACCCTGCCCCTTCTCCCAGCCTCCCCACCTTCCCTGCGAGAACATATTTCTGTGGGAAGGCTCCCCTCCCCACCAGGCAAGCCCAGGCGCCCCGCTCCCTCCCACCCCAGCACCCACCACTGCAGAGCTGTCTCTGAGGGGTTGCTCGGGTTGCGATCCCACTGGGCTCTCTGACCAGCTCACGGCCTTCTCCCTCGGTGCCTGGGCTTGGCACATGGTAGGTGTTCAACAAGCACTGCTGAATGAATGACTGTTAAAAGAATGAATGAAAGTCTAGGGAGGGGGGAGGGGGCTGCATATGTCAGTCTGGCAGTTAGGAGCCCAGTTCCCTTTCCAAATGGAGAAACCAGATCCTCCGTGTGTGTGGCTCTGGGTAAGAGGCAGGCGACCCCTTTCAGCTGCCACGGACACTGTGATCATCCCTGCCCACCTCTCCGCCTGGCAGCTCCTGCTCAGCCCCAGCCCCAGCCCCAGCCCCAGCTTCCAGTAGGAGTAGAAAACGTGTGGGGAGGAAATGCGATTAGATGTCAGGTGCTAGCAGAGAACTCTCTGGAGCAGTAAACCCTGCTCAGAAGCAGGAACACATTCCACAGTTGGTTTTGTGCATGAGTGTGTGTGTGTTGCAGCTGTAAACTCCAGGGCTGTAAGCTCGGGGGAGGGACCAGGAGGAAGGGGGGGGGGAGGCCAGAGTGGTTGCACATGTGTTTGGGTGATTAAGGAGGAAGGGGCCGAGGAGGGACCAAGTGGGGAGACAGGTGGCTGGGCCTGGGGCAGCCCCAGGAGCCCCTGTAGAAAGGCTGGTTCGCTAGCTGCCGTCCGAGGTGGGGAGCCCGAGTGCAGAATGGAGTTGGGGGTGGCCTACATGTGGCTCCCATCCGAGACCTGGCCGCTTGGAGACAGACCAGCTGGCTTGGGGGAAGGCGTCCAGCTCTGAACAGGACTGAAATGACCCTCGGTTCTCCCTGGAGCAGGGGAAGCGATTGGCCTGGGGAGCTGGGAGAGGAGGAGACAGAGTGGGAGAGACAGGCTGGCTGCTCTGGGGGTGTTGCTGCCTCTGGAGGCACAGGGTGGGGGGCCAGGACCGGGCTGGGCTGGGAGCCCACTCAACCTGGGCAGGCTCTGAGCCAGTGGAGACGTGCGCTGGCATCCCCTGTCCTTCCCGCCCTCCAGTGGCCCCTGCCTGCCAGCTGCCTTCAACAGTCCCCACCCCCACCCCACCTCACCTGCTCCTGCTTTGGCCAAATTAGACCTCACAGGGCGTACACCCTCCTTCAGCCAGGACCCCCTCACCGAGCTTGCCTCCCCTGCTCGGATTGTGGCCCTCAGCCTTTCCTGACCCCCCGTAGGGCGCATCTCTCCCTTCTCCTAAGCCCTGCTGTACCGTGTGTCTTGAAAACCACTTACACACACAGACATTTATTCAGCGCTGGCCGTGTGCCGGGCTCGGTGCCAATCCCTCTTCCTACTTTGTCCCGTTGAGCCCTGTCAGCAGCCAGGGGCTGGGCAGATGCCTCTGCTGTCCCCATGTCACAGAGGAGGAGACTGAGGCCCAGAGACGTGCGAAGACAGGCTGGGGCCTACGCTCCCAGCACAGCCCCCATCCTGACCAGTGTCTCAGACGCAGTGGTGTGGCCTCCCTCCCAGCCCCCAGGCCCAGCGGCATCCCTGCTCTGCCCAGCAGATGGCATCAGTTCCACTGGGACCCAGCAGGGGCCTGTCCTGGGTGGGGTGGGGCGGCCACAGTACAGGGAATGGGCAGTGGGAACCCACCTGCTGCGCCCCCTTCTCTCACCCTCATCGGCCAGAGCAGGAGGTTTATAGAGGTGCTGAAATGCCTGGAATGCCACCCGGCTCCCGCCTCCGGGACAGCTGTCTGTCTGCTCTGCCCGGCCCAGGATTGCCGGGCCAGCTGCTGCATTTGTGTCCTCCAAGTCTGAACACCCGCCCCGCAGCTCTGGTCAGCCCAGAACACAGTGGCCCTTGTGGCTCTTCGTGTAGGGTCCACTGAGGCCCCTCTGCACCTGGTGGAAAGCGGTCTAGGCTTCGATGCCCTTCAGCTCCTTCCCTGGGGTCCCGGCCTGGACTGCTGCCCTGGCCTCTGCTCTGTGCCCGTGTCATGTGAGTCTGTGCCTGCAACCGGGCTGTGACAGCAATCGTGTCGTCTTCAACCTCTGGCTGAACATTAGCAGCCCAGGCCGCCCCAGCTCCCGAACACCTGCCAGGTGAGCCCGGTGGACGGCTCCTCCCCTGCACCCTTTGCCCCAGGGAGCCTCGGGCTCCTCATCTGCAAACTGGGGCTCGCAGGTCCCTGCCTTATAGGGTCCCTGTGAGCACGGACCTGCCTGCGGAGCTCTCTGGGCGGGGCGGGCCCCCGCGGAGTCCTCTCTAAGTGTCAGTTCAGAAAACCACTAATGAGGGAACTCGTGGTGCTTCCGGGGAGTTCTTGTCCTCTGAAAGGAGACCTCACCGTCCATCCACAGGGGAAGGGCTGCTCAGGGGACCCAGGAGCTCCTGACAGGGCTGGGACTGGAACCCAGGCTTACCAGGCCACCGCCTGCTCCCCTCTCGGCTGCTGGTGCTCCCATTCACTGACCTGCCTCCTTGGCGCGTAGAGGGGTGAGGCAGAGAGGGGACAGAGCTCCTGGGGACCCAACCTATGCTTGGCGATAGGCCCGGTGGCATATAGTTGGGGAGCCTTTGTGGGCAGAAAACTGTCCTCACTGGAACTGTGCCCTTGCCAGCCAGGCTCGGCCCGACCACCTGGGCAGGCGATGAATCCAGGATGCTGCACAGACACAGCTCCGGCGACCTCACTGCCCCCTCCCGGGGGTGGCCTGCCCCTGGCGCTCTGGCAACATGCTCACTTCCCAGCCACTCCAGGGCTTCTCCTGGCCCCTCCCTGCTCTAGATTTGGGGACTAAGGAGCCTTTTTCTTGTGGATTCTGGAGCAAGAGAGGCCTTACCCCTCTGAGTCCCCCCATTTGACTTTAAGACTTGGCCTAAGGAAGCCCCAGTGCTCCTGGCCGACACAGCAGGAGAGGCGGAGACTGAGAAGTCCGTGCTGTGGTCCCTTCTCCCACTGCTGACCCTGGAGGTCTTGGGTGATTCTTCCTAAGTGTCCAGCCCCTGGGCCCAGGCGGGGCAGGAAGCTTGTGGGGAGGGGTTGGCTGTCGTGGCTGCCCTCTGGGGCCTGGCCAAATGGTTCTTTGGTGGCCTAGGGCCTAGGTCCTAGGCTGCAGCAGAGAGGACAGGCAGGACATTGGGGGGTGATGAGAGGCGGGCAGCCCTCTAGACCCAAATGGCTGGCTTCTGCGTGCCAGGGGTGAGGCCACCTCGCACAGGCTCTGGCCCGTGTGTGGGGTTCTTCTGAGCTCTGCTCTGGATAC